CGTGCCCGTAGCTTGGCGAGCACTCGTTTACTTTGTTATTACGGTACGGTGCGTCGACGTTTGTTGACTTTACGTTCGACTTCTTACCTTTCGAAGAAAATCGTTTCATTTATAGGATTCGCCAATCGTTCTCGATGGGACGAAAAAAGAGTGGACGTGTTAATTACGTTAATTAGAATAACGTGCGTGGAAGGACTTCGTTCGACCCTCTGTCGCGAAATTTGTTCGCTCAGGAATTCGATAAGAACGCTTTTAACAATTACTTCGATGAACCACCGAACGTGGACCAGTTTTACGTTTGAGGATAATTGAGAGTGCTGCTGGCAACGTAATTCGTTGAACTATCTCGTGAAAAAAGTACGAGCGAGTTGAAGCGCAATGCTTCCACTGCATTTTTTTGAAAATAAGGTTGGTGTGAAAATTTGAGCGAAAGACTATTTTAGCAAAGTCTAATAATGTAGAATAAATGGTACCCTGCGTGAGGTTCGCATTCTTTAATTTGTATAATTCAGGGTAAATAAAATGAAATTCATGCGATGGGGAGTCGAGTCCTTCCACTTGCCATCTCGATCGCGATCCATAACAACCACCGACGCGATTATCGAAGACAATTTCCTGACGAGACGGTTCTGTGACATTTTACATCGACAAAGTGTACACATACGATACAGATTAGTATAACGTTAATTCGTACGGACGATTAAGTATATGGACCCGTGTTCAAATCACCGTGCGATTATCGAGTGTCGAACGCAACTCGATGAGCCTTCTACGCGAACGTGGACCAGAGATGGGCAAAATTCTAGTCGAATAACAAATGACAAATAATGTCCAACGCTCGAGCAATTTATTCGAGACGTTTATTTGGTCTGAATATTTACACGGAAAAATTTGTATTTGTTCAACGAGAGATGCAACGTTACTTTGTACTTCGAATTCGAATTTTTGTTCGAACGGTGACTAACATGAAACTGTTTAGGCTGTGTCTAGGATAGTACTGAGATGATATTGTTCGTTTTCGAGACTTTAATTTCCAGCATTCTTCGCGAGCTTATTCTTGTGACATTTCGATTAAGTACGTAGTTTTAATTTTGTAAAAATAGAATGCTCTATATGAAATTTACAGGCAAGTGAAGCATTTCTCGTGGAGAGTTTGACTGAACTCCTAGTAGTAAAATCTTGGAGTAACAAGGAGTCATTAAATTGTCACCTTTCAATGTTGAAAGTGAATAATATTTTTAATTTAATCGAAACCGTCGCATGTTTTAGTTAACATTCGTGACAGTCCATTTTTCTGTATCTTTCGCTACACGATATAATATTTTCACATAATGACCGATATTCTTTTATATAATTAATAACAACTTTTGTTATTCCATGGTTTTAACGTACTAGAAATTTATGCAAAATGACACGATATCAAGCTCGTAACAAAGACTGGAAATTAATCTCTTATTTCGCAAACCCCTCTCGTCGTGTTGAATTTTATTCCTCATTCGTTACCCAAGACTGTTATCTAGATAAGAATTTTCCCCCCCATCTCTGATGCGAACCGACCTGTTGAAAATAACATTTTCTGAACACGTTCCGTACACGTGTACTCTTCAAAATATCTATCGATCTCTTCTTCTGTTGGTCAATTTTTTGATAACGATTATTTAACACACAAGTGTACATGTATTTATATATTTACATATATAGAATATATTTATATATGTGTAAAGGATGTTCCAAAACTCGCGTAGGAGCCGGAAATGGGGGGTAGCTGAGACGATTCTGAACAACAATTACCTCTGCAAAAATGTCGGTGGAGGCTTCATTTTTGAATTATTAACGAAAAACACCGACCAATCACAGGACCCGATTAGCGTGCGCTCAGCCGCTAGAGCATAAGCTCGAGCCAGAACTGGCTGATTGCGCCAGGTCGCTGTGATTGGTCGGTTTTTTTGTTAATAACTCAAAAATGAAGCTCCCACCGACATTTTTGCAAAGGAAATTGTTGTTCCAAATTGTCTCAGCTACCCCCCATTTCTGGTCCTACGCGAGTTTTGAATCTCCGATGCTTTGGATTAATTGACACTTACATCTTCCGCTCGGTTTGTTCCTTTTACCCTAGATAGACAAGATCCGAGTTCCCAGAGAAACTCTCTAGGAGGTTAGTTGAAATGGAAAGTTACACACCATTGTGCGTTCGTTCAATCCCCGTGAAGGAGGAACGACACGCTACCTTGCTCTTAAAATAGTAAACAGATGAACAGTTCTCTAGTTAGGCTTTACACAATTGTATCGAGTTATAATACTTGAATCATCACGGATAGTAACGGCTTGATAACAGACACAAAACGGATACATCATTGTTTCACATCGACACCAAGAGGAGCGAATACTCGTCACTTCGATCTGAAGATAGACGCGGATGGACGAAACACCAAGCACCATAGATTACTTTAATAACGAGTGATTTTACTTTAACTGTTAACCGACTAAAGCCGTGAAATTAAAGAACAACGCGTAGCAGCAATTAATCAATAATATGGAATACAAAGGAATTATGTATAATGTGTATAAGTATGAAGAAATAAGAGTAGAGCTTTGAGCCCTTTGCACTTGGCAGGCATCTTTAGTATAGCAGCTCTAATGGAGAACCAAAGGAGACTTTCAAAAATTGTATATCTAGCAAAATGTAAAAGTACACGAATTATAATTAAAATTGCAGGAAATTTCTTATTTGACTCAACAACAAACAATTTTCAGTTACACAAATTTCTGTCGAGTCTAACCTTTCGGTTCGAGAAGAAAACATTTCTTAAAATCTCAAAATCGTCCACTTTTTTAACGACAGTTTTAAAATATTACTTCCCTTGCGAAGTGATCGATTAAACACGTGTAATCTGGCATCATTTTTTCCGCAAGTATTCCACGATATTTGTGATATTTTTGGAATGTATTCTTGGTTGAATCTCGGACTGTTTCGATCCTAGGATGACTTCGACGAGCCTCGACTGATCCGATATATGGATTATTTTATTTCATTTAATTATAACGATTGCAAGTAGACGGTTATGTTACGATAAGAGTTTGGAAAACCAGATCTTTAAATATTCGAATGGACCTATCGAATTATCGAGTGTTTACAGGTAATTATTCCGGTAAATATCATTTTGAAGGGATGTAATGCGTAAACAAACTCCATATTATTATATCGTTTTCGATACGTTACGCAACATTGCATTCCCTTCGTGCAATGTTAATTGGGTTCCAGTCGATTATTTTTATTATTCGTTTAAAAATTTTTTGCATTTCCACTCTGCTGCTGTTTATCACGAGTGGAAATATATCGAGATGCTGTCACGTGTACAGCGAATTAGTCGAATATAAACCTGACCTCATTAAACTATGAAATTGAAATAAATAAGTTTACATTACCCAAAATTACGATCAGTTGAATCTCTTCCAAACAAACTTTCTGTACTCTTTGTCTTCGTTGGTTTCCTTCCACAAGTCTTGTATCACTTATTATTTTCACCTTTGTCAGATAAGAGCAGAAGTCATCCTAGGAGTAATAAACCTTTGATGCTCGATACTTGCAAGGGTGGACAAATCGCCCCTCAAAATCTGTAAGATTATAGATAAGAAATTCTTTAAACACTTAATCGTGTTCTTTTTTTGTCAAATATTCAATCCATTTTCTGATATCTGCAAGCTGTTCAATTTGCTTTCTGAAATCTTTGTAATATGCCACTCTCGTAAGGTGTATCTCATGTAATCCTTATATGTATACTTTTTCGCCAAGTATTTTATTCTTTTCTCGACACTCTTCCTACATACCCTTCCTTTACGAATCGTCTATTTCGTGAAAATCTTGGCGCATGCTCTTTCATAGCCAAATGTTCAATCCCTCCTCTAAAATCCTTATGTACTGTACGTAGTTTCGTAAAATCCTTGCTATGTACTTAAATATGCTTTGTCCTTGTCAAATATTCAATCCCTTTCCTGATACACATTCCTCTTTGGCAAGATATACTGTTATATGCCTTTCCCTCGTAAGCTGTTACAATTTATATACTGAAGCCCTTATATCATGACTCGTAAAATTCTAGATATATGCCTTTGCTTCACAAAATCAGAGAAATATGCTTCTCTCTAGCAAAGTGTTCATATTCTTCACCCTTTAAGTACGGTCTCCTCTTCTATCATCTATTAAACATCAGTTTATCTTCTTTCCCGATCAAAGGCGTTGATCTTTCCTCAGCTATTAAACATCTTGTGCTTCACTTTCTTTTTCACGCATGTATCGATCTCCATTTTAATTTATTCAACATCTGCTTATTTTTTTCTCAACAATAGTAATTCTACCCCGTCTCTGAGCGTTTGACTCCCAGTCTGGAGTCATTAAATTTATATCATTCGCGCTTAGCATCGTCGAAAAAGCAGCCCAAAACGAAGTTTGGCGCGATATTACTGGCAGCCGCGTTATATCGTAAGATTCGGGCCATTGATCCAGTGGCAGATTGCTACAGACGTATTCGACCCAACGTCCTGTCTCTTGAAATCGAAAACTTTTATCTACGTCATCTGTACGTCTGGGCAGAAGACTCGAATTCTATGTGTGCCAGACGGGATTTCACATCAGCCGTAACAATCGTGGCGTTTATCTGTTCGCTCTCCTTTTTTAGCACCGTTGTTATTCCGGCCCTCTCGCTGCCTCTAAATTTAAATGAAACGCGTTTGCTCGTCGTATCTCAGCCAAATTCACATCAACGGAAATTATTTTGTCTTTATTTGTTTTTTTAGTGGAATATCGTTTCTTAACGATTTTTCGATTATACCAATCTTCAGTTTATGTCCGATTAGTTTAATCCTCGTCGTCGGAAGCGCTCGAGGAACTGATGCGATAGTCACTGTCCTCGTTCAATTCCACGACAGTTTTCAAAATTTGCCCACGGATGGTACAAATTTCCTTGTCATCAGCTTCGCGGGTCCAACTACTCACGGTAGTTACTTCTCTAACTCGCGCTGATCGATGTGGTTATTTGTACCTGGAAGAAGCGCAATGGAAACGAGCCGACGGTGAGTCGCCCTCGTGGTTTTCAACGTTCGAGAAGCAATCACCGAGACGACGACTGCTTTTATCATTTAAGGAACTGCGAGGGATTCCAAACCTAAGCGGTACATTAGCGAACGTATACAGTTGAAGAAACTAATTAAATACCGCTGACATCCCTCCCACCAACGAATTTGTTTAACATTTAGCAATTTTTTGTATAAATTTTAGTTATTAATTTTCTTCTGAATTTACAGTGAATTCACGTGGCGGAGCGGATTTCACCGATCTTGAATTAGGCTCTTTCCACTCGCGTTAGACAAAGCGTACGGTTTCCAAGTAGTCGGAGTCAACGATAAAGTAGCCACGCTCCAAGGATGGGTTTTTTCTCATCGAGGCAAGATAAAAGCCTGGCGAGATAAAACCTCGCCAAGATAAAAGCTTTCCCTTCCCTCGTGTACGAAAGTTGAGATAAAAACACCGTGTCCCGTGTTGCACGCGGCCCCGTAGGCAATCCCCAACGAAAGAAAATTGCTATGATCCAACCTGGGGCGAGCAATGCTCGACGCGTCGCGTGATTCTTGCTTTTCCTCGTCGATCACGCAAACGCAGGGTAACGAGAATCAAGAAAACCACGGATGGTTTCCCAGCAGGGTGGTCCTTCATTTCCGACCTTCGTTTTGGCCCTATCATGGCCGAAATACACATAGAATAAATTCATCTTCTCATTCGACATTTTTGGCATTGAAATTTGTGTTCTTATTTAATTTCACTTTATTGTGACTATTAACAGAGGCAAGACGTAGAAATACAATATATTAACACGTTCCGTGCCACGTATACTACAAATGGTACATGCAGATTGTTACTATGGTACTTTAAAAATCAACGGAACCGTGTTTTGTGTGAAATCATGGCGTCTTTAAAAATTCGTCTAACATTTTCCTTTACTCGCCTCGATATAAATCCCAGTCCGCCCTATATATGTGACGATATAGACCAGAGGGAGGAAAAAAGAAATTGATCAGCAAGATTTCGACCACCTATAGCGAAGGACCACCCCATTTCCCAGTGGCACGCGAGGCGAAAAGCGTGTTTCGTTCATGGCGGCGATACGCGCCGCCTGGGCTCCTCGGTATTTATGAGCCTCTCGCGTCGGCACGCGACCAAATTCGTTGACCTACTATTTTGCACGTAGATCCAGTTAACGCCGACTGTGTATGCACGTGCACGTACGCCGGGTGATTGCTTTCCGAGTACGGAATATTTAGCTTTGACGTCGCACGTGGAATATTCGGTGACCCAATACCTTTGCGAACGGGTGCAGAGCGTTTCCGTGGATGCGGCAATTGTTTCAAGTGTGAACGAACTCTGGGGTGAAAGAATTCGTTGTCACGTTGGATAGCTCGACCCCTCGGTAAACGTTTATATTGTACGCGTGACGTATTCTTTTATTCGTTTCTCGCGCACGGCGGTAAATTTGGCGCTTTCAATTGCGTGCGTTTTAAAAGAATGTTGGAAAAAGTGTAATTGCCATTTGAGGTTCATTTGCGATTTTGTTTGGGTACCTGTAATTATCTACGTTATTTTAGAAAATATTTTTGTTGGTCACTGAAACACGTATTTGATTTCGTGTTGAAGTACGGGAGTTGTTCGGAAGAGTAAAGATAATTTAATTTTCTTGATTGTTGAGATTTCGATAGAATAAAATTGTGGGTTTCTGTAACGACGTAAGAAATTCCGAGGTAGTAATTGCGTATAGATTGTTTGTGGGTCACACTATTGTGGAATTTGTACCTTTCGCGGTATCGATGTCGAGGGATGGATAGGAGATCCATAGAAAATTCTCGCCTGCTTCGAATATCTTGGATCTTACGAGGATACTCGAAAGCTCTTACTTAGAAAGCTCTGTAGACAATGAAGAGACACTTCTCCACCGTGTTATAGAGGTCTGTCAGAGTGAGTGTGTAGCTACCCTCGTGCCCTTGGGTTTATTCAGCATTCCGTGACATGACACATGCCATCTACTTCGTGTCAAGAATTTAAATCATTTGATCAAGCAGCTCATTTGTATTAAACGTTTAGGGTAAACGATGGGTGTGAGATATGTGAATTACGATATGTTTGAAGTTGTATCGATTCGAAGTAATAGACTCAAGAAGCGTATCGTACGACTTATGTATTCATTGAACAAGCATTAAAAACTCATTTATTTCGTAGTTGTCATGAAAAAAGTCATCATATTCGCGTTTGAAATGCAAGCACCGAGTTGGTTGAGCGTTGGTATACAAATTTTGTTCCCTTCTTTTGAGTGTACCGAGTTTACACTGCAATTTCGTAACCACCTTTTAGAAACACTCTGCACACGCATGAATTCGCAATGGCGAATGTGGGACGCCGCGATGCATCGCGCAGTTAGTTCCGAATCGCGTCGGTCGAATTCCGTGGTTGCGTGATTCGATGATTCTTGGTGGCGTACCAGGGATGGACTGGAATGAATTTGGTACTCGAAACAAACAACGAACAACCGAATGTTTTTCTAAGTTGAGATATAGTACCTCTCGAATCTGCCACATCGCGTACCGATAAATTATAAATTCACGAGTATGAAAACTACTTAGAACTTTATTTAACATTTGGAAATTCAGTTATTTCTCGACTTATCAACGAATCGCTATTGTGTGCATCTTTGAAATATGTTTAACCCATCCCTGATTCGATGAGCCAATCAACGTGATCGACCTAGCATATCCGTCGACGTGATATGGGCAACTGGTAACAGTGCTTTGGGCCGTTCTCCCACTCGATGACGATACGATACGATACGATCGAAAAAATGATCAGCTGATAGTCGCCCGTATGTGAATCAAAACTTTACATTGTATTCGTTCCTTGTCCACCCACGCGATGAATTCTTCGATCGCATCGCGTAGATGGGAAAACGACAGTGATAATGGACAACGAATAAAAGCACGACAATGTATTTGTGAGGTTTACTCGACGAAGTAGTTCAAATTTTGTCTTTTTAATATGAAATGTTTCGTACTATAGATCAGATTTTCATTTTGATCGAACAGTGGTTTATCCTTTATTCGTTGTTTGAAATTTTCGAATAAAAATTATCTTAGCAATGTAGAGAAGCTTTACGAAACGGTAATGAGAATTTATCGTCTTACCTATGCGGCAATGGACAGGCTAATATTCTGAAGCAGGCCAGCACTAGCATTAACAGTAGGGTACTGGCGATAATGGTATAAACGACACCAAGATGTACCAAGGAAAATATGTAAAGTGGCTTAGCACAATACATATCTTTCATGTACATGTTATCGTTGAATGTCGGCCACATGATTCCCAGGATCCAGTAATTTCCTGCGACAGAAAATTTGAGACTGAAATCTTGAAAATATCGACGGGGTTAATCGTAGCTTCTTTTTAGCCATAATTTTTTCTTTAGCATGTTGGGAAGAATAGGCTTCGAAGTCTTCGTACGAGGCCTCGTTCCTAAGAAAATTGATTTTCAAATTCTCTGGGTACGCGTGCGAACGTGTCTGACAATTGCTCGCTATTTCTACTTGCGTTGAGAGTTCGAGGCATTTACACAGATTAATAACGGCATGGGACCGTGTTCGAAGTTAATAACATAGATGGAAAGCAAAATAACGATATCGTATTACTGTCAATGCACACAGGCATGAACACAAGTAGAAACAACGAGCAACGGCCAGACACGTTAAAGATACTTAGATATTTCCAAAATTTATTTTCTCTAAAACGAAGCATCGTACGAAAAAATGTTAGTCTTCATTTTCGATGTATCTTCCAATGTATTTTGGTATGAATATTTGCGCTTCTACGCCTGAGACATACTATGCCGTATACAAATTTTGGAAACTTGAACAGGATTGGTCGTTTTATTTTTGTCAATTACTGAAAGCAAATTTTAGTTATTCGCTCAACTACAATACTACAGCCAACGTAGTTGTACTCAGGAGAATTCATTTGAAACTCATCCGTTCCACAAAGCTTCCATTCCTTCCGGAAATAATGGCACCGGGGTGGGCGTTCACGAAATGCGAAATATCCGATTAGGGTTGCCTTCGTTCAAGCCTCGTCACGAGCTTGATCGCACGAACTCCTAAAACGCGATGGATGCAACTGTTCGAAGAATACCCTTTCAAAATGAAAGGGTTCATTCTTGCCGCGAACTAAATTAGAATGTTCGAAGTGCAGGCGATCTGGAATTTTAATCCGTCAGTGCAAGCCACACGAAAAACCCGAAAGCTGTCGTAAATTACTGTAATTATAATTGTAAATATAACATAGAAATAAATCACTAACACGTACAAATAATCATAGTACTATAAATGAGTTTGAAAGATTCCCGAACAGCAACGAATCGAAGCCAGCGAAAAGAAAGCGAGAAAAAGTTGGGAGCGGTGGCTCGTTATTTCCAAATCGATGCAATTACGGCTGCAAATGTAATGGGTAAGCAGCTTACGTCTAGATCACGAACGAAAATTAGCTTGCAACGAAACAATGCACAACCCACGTCGATCAATTTCTCCCGAAGGGAAACGATAGATGGATTTCGGTGTGTGGGTTTCGTATAGAAAGCCTTCGCCGTAATACGGATACCGATTCGAGCAGTATTCGAACTGCTCCGATTTTTTTTGTTTGTCTCTATTATTTCTATTGTTTATTCCAAAAGCTTTATCTCAGGTTGACTTTGGAAATGACCAATACATTTTTGGAATTTATTAATACGCGTGCACGGCGAATAGAAACACCCTACATAGCGATTTATTCGACCAGATCGGTACTCGGGTAAGCTTCCATTCGTTCGATGTGAATTTAATTTTTAATAATTTTATAATGATAAATAACTAATAGGAAGCTGTAGGACCTATCCGGGTACCAGGAGGAAATAATAAACACCCACCGTCATTCTCTGTTGCGTTCCTTCTTGTCGCGAAATTCTACAGTACTCACCTGCCACGAACCAGCCTATCAAGAAGAGAGATAACCCTACGATTATCACTATGGTGAAGATTACTTCAGGCGATTGTGGCGCTGTCGACATAATCTCCGGCTTTCTTGATCTCAACTGCAAGTATCCCACAAATATCATTAGGATCATACTGAGTATCCCAGCTATGACCAAGTAGATGGGTATCCGATCTTCCACGGTGCACTCCTTTACGTATTTCCATCCTGGAACAGAGGTAGACTCGTCACGTGAGGTAATCCTCTTCAAGGTCTCTCGATGCTCCTATTTGGCAATGAGACCCATATCACTCCACACTGATGACGGTTATTAATTATCATGCAGTGGGTTATATGGATGTTTCTTTTAAATTGGAATATTCCTAATGTAAAAATATCTATATTTACTGTTTTAGTTAGATTGCAAAGCATATGGTTTAGTGCATTCATGGCGTTTCCACCGAATGCATATATTCTATTAATTAATATAATGATATTATTTCGTTTAAGTGTCTTTTGATTAGGTTTACCATATATTTGTCATATTCGCTGATATTATAAATGTATAAAATCGTCAGTTTAGAAATAAAATGAATATAGTATAATAAGCAATAAAAAAATATCATAATTAGAAAATGTAAAAAAGTGGAGCAATTTAGTCTCTACAAATTCAAGACGGTAGACCTTTGTATCCGTATAAAATCACGAATCGTCTATTCGAATAATACATTATCAACCCTAAAATCGATGATGTTCGAATGCGTTATCGAGGTAGTCCCATGACCAGTCTAGTTGCTTCCGAATCGCGTGTATCTCATTTTCGTGTTTGTTTACAGCGAGCAGGTTTCGCGTTAGTCGATATATAAATAAGTTTTCGCACGCCGACCGCGTTGAATAATGTAAACGCTAATGACGTCGCCTGACTTCCACTCACTGTGTCAAGTCCTATTTCGATACATAATCGCTGGTAAAGCGGCATGCGAACCCTCGCAGGGGCGGTCCCGCCTCTCCTTCACGGCGCACAATCGTTCGCTAACGACCGTTTGATAATTTTTTAAAGAATCGTCGACCGACTTATTACCATTGTCCCCCTTCGTCGCGCGGCACGTCGATCGATACAATTGTAAAGCGTTGGAAGAGAGTTCCAATTGTTTATCGTTCTAATAAATAATCGAGTAATCCTAAACATAAGTATGAAATACGTTGATCAAATCGATCGACTTGGTTGTTCCAGTGCCAACGGTTCAAACGAAAGCTAAAGTAATATTGCGTTGCTTTCATTTCACGACTGCGAATTACAAATGTAGCACGTGATCGCTGATCTATCTCTAGATTAACGATTACGATTTTAACGACTGCTATTCGCCGATCAATTATAAGAATAGCTGCGATGTAATCGATTACCGTCTATCTCAGGTCGAGATGAGTAAACATCAGGCGTTCCAGTTACGCCACGGAACGATCAATTTTGCAAGAAAGCTCGCGCGTACGTTCACCGAGGGTAATCCCACGTTTCCACGTTTCCACGTACCCTATCGATCTAGGGAGGGCTCTATAGATGACGGGTGCTCGAAGAAGAGGTGAATGCGCCGTCCGGGCGATTCAGGCTGCGAATCTATGCCTCGCAGGAGCGAGCAACGAGAAATTAAACCGGTTTGCATGTCGTAGCCAGCGCACGCCAACGCCAACCGGATTGCGTGTCGTAAACCCGTCAATTAGTTGGGAAACAATGCCCAGGTTTCGACGAGAGATCTCGAAACGGGGATTCTAAGCGTGTCGTCGTGACGCAGCCTACGTGCAAAAACCACAGAACGCGCGTTTGATCAGCCTACGAGGATATAAACTATCTCTCCGAAAATTTAGTAGAAAAGATTTTTAAACGCCACTGAATCTCTCAATTCTTACACTTTTATATATTACGATAAATGCTGTAACTCTTTACGAACGATGGATGTTTATTACATAACCAGCATTAACCTTTAAAAGCCTGATTTTCTAAATTAAATTTTAAACAATATCAATGTATTTATTATTTGAACAATCTTGACAGCCGGCGTTTACTTTTTTAACTTTTGTTCAAAAGAACATACAGCCAACCAGTTGCAAGTGTACTGTTCGATTTAAAAGTCCGGTATCCAATTTGAAACTTAGGGCACTTAAGGATTAAAGTGCTCCAGTCGAAGAGAATTGAAACTTGAATAAAAGTGCGTTCCATCTTCCGAATATTACAACGCGCGTTTCATTTAGAATATTTTCTACATTTTCACAATGTATAGATTTCTCTCGTGTATAACTTATACTTGTCCGAATTCAGTACAAAGATCTTCAACAATTTCTCAAGAGCAAGCGAATACGAGGTCTCCGTGAATTTATGTCTGAAATTACGTCGCGAATCGGCCATGTCAACGTTTGTCAATGCTAATAAGCTGCTTCAACGTTGCCGGAGTATTTTCATCGCGTTCACGTGGGAGCGTATGCAAATTGCACCCGGTTGCATTTCATATATCGTTATGGGCATGCTTTGCAGTGCAAGCAACCGACAAGTGGGAGGTCCGTGAAAGGAAAAATGTTCCGCGCGTGGGAATAAATCGCAACGATTTGTTTGTGATACGGGGAATCGTTTCTGCGTCAAACTTTTCAGAAAATAAAAAAATACTAAAACTGCAGTCGATGCCACCGAGTCGGAAAACTCAAAATGAAATCCTTCGTTTTGCGTTCTGGTTCCTCTGGATGCTTTCAAAGCTGGATGAGTGGTGTAACGTGTAAACGAACTTCGCTTACCGAAGATCAGCATAACCAACGAGAAGATAAAGTAAGAGACGAGACATCCCGTCACAATCCTCGTTTTCGACACAACTTTCAGGGCTCGAAACACGAAGTCGCATGTGCTGCACGCCTCCAAATTCGCGTCCTTCAGCTGGAAAGCCACGGAGCCATAGGTGATCACGCCAAGATTGTCCTTTTCCGTGTTGTTTTTCGGTATCATGACACTGCTATTGAACAGACGGCGCGATTCATCCCCTGAAAACTGATCATTAACACGGACTCGCGTTATTAGGTTGTCGCGCGTGACAAATCATTCCTACGAAGTTCAAATTTTCAGTCAATGCAACATTAGTCGTGGGTGTATAGTTTTGATACATTCATTACTTGTACTGACCCCTCAAAACTGAGTTGATTATGACCTGAGAGAATATAACATTGACTGCATTGAAAAGCAGTCCATACTTATTATTATAGAGAAGATCCCATTGCAGGTGTGTTTTTAATTCCACAGTAGAAACGGTCAGCAATGGTCAGACGTGCCTCTAATTTTACCGGGTCTTCAAACTCTAGTATCTCGAAGAGGAAACCTCGTATAAAAAAAAAGTGATTTTTATTCCAGGAATCGTTCTTTCTTTTCACAACTATCGACATCGCGAACACAATAGGACTTTGAATAAATTCCGCAGGACTCTGACGAGAATTCTACGTACTCTCATTTTAGGTGTGCTTTTAATTCCACTGTTCTTCAAACTTCGAATAAGCGATTATAATAATTTGTCCATTCACTACAATTCCAATGGAATGGAAGGGGACTTCTTCGAACATCTTTTCATACCGGGAGGAAGAGATGCAAAACGTGAGAAACACGCGACGAAATGACGAATACGCTAACGTATCCCGCCATGAAATTGCTGAACGCACCGTTATTCGCGGATCTCGTTGCGATACGGTGCTCCAGCGTTACAGCTGGCAAAAATTCAATAACCGAGGGCCGATGATGCGTGGAAAAACAATTTCAGGCGGTCGTGAATTACCTTTTCCCCGGGGCGGAGGATGTATCGCGTCCCGACGTGACTGCTCCGATAAAAGGGTCGACGTCTTTATGGAAAATATACGCGAAACTGGCAGAAATTATATTTACGTATTACACCAGCGAGCGATACATTCTACTTCGGATCTGCCTGACGATGCTCGTCGATGGGAAATCGAAGGAACGGCTGCGAGCAATTCAGCGGGAATCGACGACACCGCGACTGCTGTTTCTCTTCGACGAAATGGAAGACAAAAGGCAAAGGGAAAAGGGGTTGGGGTTTGTTCGCGAGTTAATCTGCAAGCATTTGGTAAATTGCAGGACCAGCCAGCACTTTTCTTAACGAAATTTCCCTGAGTTGGACGAAGGAAAGAACCACGAGGGATTATTTATCGAATTATTCTGTATCCGTGCTCTTTCGTGATACGAACGTGCGAATATGCGTAATTTAATTTATGTATAGGTTCATTTCTTACCTGTGAGACGGAACTACTATCTCGTCTTGTATCCTCGATGGCGTTTACCCCGTAACCTAGATTTAGGTGTACATTGCTTGAGCCGGAGTTCACGCTGCCACAGTTAACTTCAATCATCCGATTCGAGGAAGAAATTCGGTTTTCAGAAACTGCGGAAATGCAAAGCATAAGCTTTGATCCAAGATCGTTCGATTGGCACGTCGATAAGTTTAAAAGGTGAACGGTGGATTCTCAAAGCACGGTGATTGATGTAAAGAATAAGGACGTAGGAGTAACTTGGTGGGCAATAAAAGTAAGTTGGAGTTTCGTCGTGAAACATTGCAAAGCGCTAAGCAATAAAAGCATTAGTCAAGATTTTGTAAAAGACTCGAATCAAATTCAGACATGTACCCTCTGGCTGTCGAGGCAGTACGTTGCTCTTTGACCACCCAGGCAGACAGATCAAAAGAAATAAATCTCGTCGCAGACGTCCACGATTTTTTTTTGTCTTACACAATCTCTCCTTTTTTCCTTTGGCTTGGCATCCGAAGAATTCGGGGGACGCCTCGACACAGGGTAGAAAAGGAGTGTGAGGAATTTGTTATTGTAACACTTTTATCCAATATTGTAGCGGATTCAAGCGGATAATCGAGGCTTAATGGAGGAAAGCTAATGTTTCTCTCGATAAAAATTGTAAACAAAGACTTGGATTTTTCAAATCCATTCGCTTCGAATGGCGCTACGATAGAATTCAGTTATTAATATTTCCCATCGAACTCGCTTTTTGTTGTCCCGTTACTTCCCCATCGATGAATCCTCGCGTTCAATATACGAGGACTGGATCCACTCTTGCAGAAAAGAGTCGATTACCGAGGAACACGGAAGACGAGAAAACATCACGCGAATCCTTAACGCATCGGTTATTTATCGACCAGGTTGCTCGGCTTTCGAGTAAGTAAGTTTTGACTCGCGTTGTAACCACGATCTTTCAATTTATCGCGTCGTTTTGTGAGCTCCAGGTGAATATAAGCAGTTTTCTGTTTTCTAGATACCTTTTCTCGTCTATCCAGCGCATTCCCCATTCCCTATTCACGAAACTTATTTCGTTCCGTTTCGCAAACTTTCTCTGTTCGGCGTAATTCTCTTTTATTTTCGACTCCTTTCCACTCTAATAATTTTCCTGACTTCTCTGTTCGAACTGGTATCGAGATCAAGCGTGGCGCGTCGAAATCAGACAAATTTTGTTTGGAATAAAGCGGTCGAAATTTTATTTCCATTTATTTTAACGAGTTCATTATCGTTGTTTTAAAGTTAACTTATATCATGGTTGAATAGATAATTTTCGAATAACTTTGTATCGCATTTCACTCACTCGGATAGCACGGGAAGTAATTTGGAGTTTCCAATACAGTGTTTTGCATGATTTGGAAGTCCTAATTATGCAAATTGCGACGCCATTTCAGATGCTGAAACAGCATTTCAAATGATGTTATCGTTTTGTGTCAGTTGCGTATTAATGACGGTAATAAAACAGCTGATCTATACATGGGATCGGACGTAAATTTTGAATGAAATCATTTTTTTAAATCACTAGACACAAAGACACCAGTGTCATGATCGTTGTGATAAAGTAATTCAGTGTACACATTCGTTTAATTGAATTTTCACGTTGAAATTACATTCATTATACTAGATTACGTAGCACTAATAACCATGATTACCTGTGCCAGGTAAATATGTTTCAGTCAGTTCATGATTAATCAGCGTTTTGAGTGCTCTTGCTTTCCAGATTTTGTATATTACCGTGATGAATCGAATCGGCTCGAAACATTTCGTACTATGTTTTACTGATAATGAGAGAATTAATATGCCGAGTACGTCCGCGGAGTACATTAAAAATGCACAGAATGCTACGTCGAACGAAACGTTCCGATGGAATACAATCGATACGAACATATTGGATTTCAACATTTATCAAATTTGTAAAGAACCAAACAATAAAATGTTCAAAGGTTTGCAGTGGAACATTCGAACATCCGGATGAATAAAATGGCTTCAGTAAAAATGTTATTTTACGAGTAAACTTTTATACGAAAGAAAATGAATCGTTCCACTCAGAAAACAAACATAAGTGTATATCGCACGAAAAAAGAAACGATATCATCATTATATCTCTGGATGACCGAAACATCGTTAGTACAACAAACGATCGTCAAACAATTTCCAAAAAATGTTTCTGCTCAAAACTGTGTCCACGGCTCGCGCGGAAATTTCCCAGGAAAACCGTGTTTTTCACGCGATAGCCTAACGTTGATACTTATCGCGAAACGACAGCGAGTGTCTCGAACAGACTGCCGGGAGACGTGTGCATTTTCGAGGAAAATTAGTTTCGTCGACAGCTAACTCCGTTCGTCGACAGCTAGGGTTAGCTGTCGGCGCAGGCAAACGTCATTTTATCGAATTTTGCAAAGCTCTGTCACCCGTTCGCTGCCGAAACGGATCAGGCGGTTTCCTATGGAAGGTTTCGAAATCGATTTTGCGTTTGGTATGATACGAAGTTCCGCGCGCGTCTGAAATCGTGTGTCGTTGAACGAGAATGCGACTAACGCGTTGCCAAGTTTGGCTTAGCCAGCTTAACGGGGTAGCGTCAACAACGATCGAGCATTTCGACGATACGCTCCTACCATTATTCGTGATACATTCGACGATAATAGCCCAGTTGATCAGATGGGATTATTATAGCCCCCTGAGAATGCAAATTTCAGCGGAACGAGCGTCATACCGGGTCAAAGTGGCACTTCGAACAGAGAAATTAAGAAATATTGTTGAGAGCACCTGTAAAGTATAAAATAAGAAACACATTCGAAACTTAGACTGGGGTTATTTTTTAATTTTGTTACGATAGAGCAATATGCATTGAATGTACGAACTAAGAAAATATGTTTTCCTGTAGAAAACTTGATAGGAAGTTAGTAACGAATAAACAGAGGACACCATCAGCTGCATGTTTGGAAAAAAGAAATGAAATTGTACATCGGACACGAGATAATTACATTGATTGTATCATTCCCCTCCGATCTTTCTCGTTTGGAGACAGACACTGTGCTGCGTGAAATTGGTACGCTGCGAATGCGATTTAATTGGGTCCCCCCAAGTATCGAGAGCCTAATAGCAATTCGATGCTCATTAGCGTATAGCTTGACGCGTTGTCTCAAGGGGGCCATGAATTTCTCTCGTTCAGACGACAAATTTCAGATATCGCGTGCGACAGCTTCACGTGTAATCCAAACGATGGGAATTAAAACCCGAGAGCACGTTGATTGGCCGTTGCTTGAAATCAGGTTTTTGGATAAACTGTCTCGCTCGTTAGCAGTAGCGTTTAATTTACAAAGCAGGTCTCGCGGGGACTTCAACGAACAGCTCTACTTTTAATTTTAAAAAAGCACGTGTCACACTTTCTGGTAAATTTCACTATTTTTCTTACGTTATATTTAAATAAGCCCATACGTGAAATATATGTCTACCTAATTTGATTACATATTCGTTACCACTTTTATCACCGTACTAAGAATTCGAAATATCGAGTGCTTCTAACGTAAAGACAAAATCAAGGATTCTCACCTGGATCAACCGAAGCTCTTCTCGAGCTCTGCGCCATTGTGACCTTCATTGTGGGATTCATTTCCGGCAAACCGCCAAGACTGCCCCTAGGATTTCTGTTCATATAATCCGGATCGACGATACGTCTAGGACTTGTAACGTCTTCGTTTCCCCCGCATCTGATGATTTCCATGTTCCCCAAACTTCCACGCGACGACCTGTTACTGTTCGTCGCGTGGACTTCGTACGGTGCGATGGAGTTTCTGGGACTCTGATTAATGCAATCAGAGGCTATCGAACCTCGTGGACTTCTTTGGGGGCTCCGATAGACCATTTCCATCGTCGATATGCTCCCGCGAGGACTTCTTGACGAATTCGGTGCCAAGGATGGCCTACCGCTCATTGGATTACCGTTGTCGGATAACAGGGACGTCCTCGAAGCCGTTAGGGGAACCAGGCTGTTTCTCGGGCTCCTATCGTGGGCCTTGTCGGGCACCAGCGAGTGTCGAGGACTCATCGCGGTTTCTGGGACGAGGGAATGAGGTGAGCCGTAATTCATGTCTGGTGCAAGACTACGTCCGCCATTCCGTGGACATCTGTAGTAGCTCTCCGATACGATGGAATGGCGGGGGCTCCTACTCATCCTGATTCCAATTTGATTGTCCGTTATCTGGAAGACCGAATTTGTACTCTCGATGGATGTTCGGAGCGAAGATTCGCGAAGGGAGCAAACGATTCGAGCGTGGAATTTCTACGGGCCAACTTTTGCCAATTAAACGTGGGGAAGTTTCTGTAAGTGCAGGCAGAAATTGTTTTGCCGTATACAGTATCAAAGGCTTTCGAATTTAACGTTCAACCAGATGTTTTCGCTGGCAGGATGATTACTTTGTCCCTTATTGCCGATTTCGTATTGATTTACCTCAGAAATGGGCAAATTTCTTAGCTGAATTGAAACCGTGGACGAACATAGTTTAAATGTATTTCTTTAATGAAATATGTTGTATTATGTAAACGTTCTATGCGAACATAGAAGGGTTAATAAACTTGAATTTTATGTCGTACAATTTCACTTGGAGTTTTATTTTTATTCTTGCTAGTTTGAAATCATTTTTTATCACTGCGAAACGACCTCTAAAAGTCTCTCGAGTATTACCCAAGAAATCCAAGAAAATCGTAAATTTTCCAATATTTTCGTCGTGATTCGCGAAAGTTTCGGTCGAGTTTGAGAGAATAGAGGTAGCTTTGATTAAAAATAGAAGTAGAATAACACGTTGCAAGTGGAATTGATGCATCTTTTAGAGAGAGGTCGCGGAGTGCTGGGTCTCGTTAAAATGAGCAACAATTTTCATCGCGTTCCTTTAGGAAGCACCCCGTAGATCAACCTAGTTTCTCGAATCATCCCTCGCTCGCCGTGGCAAATTCGTGGTTCGATCGAAAAGCAGACGATTCTTCGTGGAAAAGATTTATAAACGTTGGGCAAAGCGCTTCATTTCGCTTGTACAACTTTCTCTATTCTTTTTTTAGGCATTCTCAGTCTATTTGTTAAATCTAGAAAAACTGATGTCTCTTGATTTATCACTTTCCACAAACAATCTATTCAAAGCCACGAATGAAAGAAATCGTACAATGCTTGATTCGATTACGAGATATATGACATTTCTTCTGATTCAAGTATAAAGCAACTTCGTCGACTTCTCTTTGATTTCAATTTTTACAAACTTAAATATATATATGGTAACCTCGTCAGAAGAGTCTGTTTCCTGTTCTAGAGCAATGTCTGGATTAGGAACACGTGTACGTGGGTCCGGCGCGTAACTTCCTCTCGGAGAGCGTTGTCTCTCCATCGTTGACCTTGGACTGGTTTGCACCATGTCCACGGGTCTCTCGGTGGCGACGCTCGCGCGTCGTCCCCTCCGTCCTGGTACCGCTGATGTTGCAGGCGATCGTCTTGATGATGTTGTTCTCTGCAACATCACAGGGGCATAACCTCATTCCTGAAACATGAAAAAAAAAAATTATATATATACATGTCGAATTGAGTAACCTCCTCCTTTTCGAAGTCGGTTAAAAATGAACAGTTCTGGAATACTCCGGAAACAGGACCGCGATTAGTGTCATCTTGGGACACTTCGAGACCGGAAGCCAAGCTCGAGAAGTCTCGGAACGTGTGGCACATTCTTAGCGGTTAATATCACTTTACAGAATAATAAACGGCTGGCTTAAAAAGTACGAAACTTATATAAATTCGAAATTTCAGAGAAAAATGGGTAGAAGAATAATTTCAGCTATTTCCATGTTGACCAAACGGAAATTAGGGATCTGCTTGTTATACGTATAAGTTAATTTCTTTTGTACTTCACGAAGCCATTCCAGTTAAAGTTACAATCAATCGCCGTTTGAGGGACAGGTACGAGAAAGAACCAGGAACGACGTTCAACGAGACCTTTAGGCGCGGTTTCTCAACGGTAACCCGATTGGCGTGCTTCGCTTCTTTATGGAATATTTTTACTCGATGGACATGCAAAGTGTCCACGGGCACGAAACGCGATCCACGGTATGGCTCTTAGCGTGGACGATGCAACCAACGGTATCGAATCAATTTCCTGCGAGACGCAGGACACGTCAGGTACGTGATAAACGGCCTTCCAAGAAGATGCCTTAAATACATAGGTACGCGTCGGTTTCCATTAGTTGCCATTTCACTCTGTGCAATCTCGCAACGCATCGAACAGGCACGGTTTACTACAAACTTCGATTCATAGAATGTGAGCCTCTGCAAAATAATAAATTATAAAAGAAATATGCAACGTTTGACCTTAAAAATGTAGAAAAATTATATTTAAATTCTGTAGGGTCTTCTGGTCACTGAATAATACTTGAGCGTATGAATTTAAAATTCAAATTACATTAGAGAAACAGTTTATATTTCAATATTCAGGATTACAGCTTGCGCTACTCTTGTGCAGTCAAAATACCACGGCAATTTGGAAATTCATTGAGCAGGCATCGAATCGTAAACAAAAATACGCGTTTTTGTGAAAAGGGCAAATATCAAATATCGATTACTTTCTTCGCAGTATAAATATTGAGAGACGTAAATTGATTAATTGTACTATGATAAATTCAGTCATACGAGACGTGTGTTCAAGTGGATCCATGTTAGGAGTCGAAAGCGTTTTAATTTAAATGTGTGCACGATGGCTACGAGCACGAATGATATTTACCGTTTTAATACCAGCATTATACGGCTTTATATGTATCCACGGTATGAGTATTGATTATGCGGCTATGTAATATTGTAACTCGAACGCTCTTGCGACTCATGAATTTGATATGCGCTTGGATGTAAAATCGCAACGAATACTTTTACTCAGAGTCCAAAGAGTACACGAGACGCGTCACTCGAAAGGGTGATTAATATTATTAGCGACGCTACCCAAGGGAACAAGACCGATTCATTAATTAGCAAGAGTTGACGTCTAACGAGCAGAGGGATTTTAATTTGATTTCAACGGGTTCACGGTTTCATTTTTCTCCACTTTTCCCCTGCCAATCTATTATGCAACGCGCGAGGTTGTTATTTTAGCAATCTAGCTTCGCTGGATTAATAACGCCATCATTTTCAATAATTTACCCCTCAGAAATGATTCGGCGGTATGCGAGATTTAATAACGTAACTAGTTATTAGAAAATAGCAAAAGATAACGTTTAGATTCAAATTAAAAAAAAAAAAATATTCCAATTTCACCTTCTTTTGTTAACGTAAAAATAATGGACAAACCTCGGTTTTACATCCCTTAAATAATCTACCGAATGGTGCGTTAAAAAATGTATACTAGTCCTTTCGTTTATTCCACAAACCAAAACAACGACTTTAGAAGCGCATTCGGTTCCGGAATAAAGCAAAGCTACATACATAGATTTGTTAAGCGACGCCAGAAAACTCGACAAATACCTTTTGTCGAAGAATTCGGATGGCACGAGTTGTAATTGCCACAAAAAGATTTACGAACTCCTCCATTCGTCGCACGTTAAAACTCCCCAGCCACGCCGAGTGGACTTTTCGGGCGCGAACGTGTACGCGGAATTCTCGACAAATTTGTCCGCAAACATCGTCGGGTCTTGCGAGAATTCCGCGCCAGGACAAATTTCTCAAGCAAACACGAGCATTTTCGAAACACACGGAGTCGCTTCTTTCCATGTCTGTTCCGTTTCGTGGAAATGACGCGAGGGGAAAGCCGGAGGGACGAACGGTTACCGAACCGGGAGACACACGCGAGCCGACAACCGAGCTTTTCCCCCGTAAAATTGCATTTTGTCGCGGCCATCGGATTTTTAATAACGGAACGGAGACAGCACTAAGCCCTGCAGAGGACGCGCAGCCAGTCGTAATTAAGCTTTTGCTGACCAATGTCGGAGCGAACTCGACACTCCATTTTATTTCAGCTGGCTCGCAAACCGGATTTTACCATTTTTAAGCGCGCTACATAATGCTCTATGGAACGTGGGTGTGAAATTTGGAGAGGTTTCTCGGGGAAATTCAAAGTGAATCCGTCAGTTCAAGGCGTTGATTTGTTTAATTCGTTTATCGACGAGCTTTTGACCATTCTCTAACGAGAACATCTTCGATGCATGGAATTCGATGTGACGTCAGAAATTATGAGAAATAAAGTGAATGTTCCTAAGGATTTTTAATTTAATGCTGAATCTGGTGGTTGGGTATATGATCGAATGACTGAATTGCAAATGGTATAAGAGAATATGAAAAATATGTGTTAAACGTGACGAAAAGTTATGTGTACTTATGCAAAACGAAATATTAATATTATTTCATCAATTAATAGATTATATTTTACGTACAATACATACATTTTTGTTTAGGCTCCGTAGAGTTCCACAGAAGCCAAGTATGTATTGCGACTTTCCAACTCACGAGCATTCACCTCGCTCAAAGAGAAACGTTCTGGAGGAGGTTGAAGTTTGCCGCGCTCGCGCCGTATAGAGTCGTCGAGACAAAAATGTTTAAACGAACGAACGCTTTATCACCAAGAGCAGCGAAGCGTGCAAAATTTCAAGTAGTTTTCGAGTAGTTGCGCGCGCTCGTAGAACAAGTTTCAACGACGTTTCTCGAGCGATTCGAACGTGGCTAATTAATCCAACGATTCGAGTCGAGGGGAGGGACGTTAAAACAGTTTCCTGAAACACGAAACGAAGGACTTTGAGTTGCAACTGCGAAGGTGCGTTAGCGAGCACCTTGAGAGGAAGTTTGTCAAGATCTTAAATCAAAAGTTCCGCGAACAAGCTGTTGCTTGAACGATGATATATAGCGTCACCTTGGGCGAACATTGCTCGCCAGAAGAATTGTATTAATAAGTAAACAGCCACGGCGAGGCGCTGGCTTGGGTTGTCGTCGAGTTTCATGGACGCCTTGTATCGATCGGATTTTCGAGTTTCGTAAAATTCTCGTATCGATAAAGCTGCCAGGTTTAAATTAACAAGGGCCTGCTCGATGACCAATGCGATTAACCAATGCGCGGATAATACGAATGCAGACAACGACCATTCGTTGTTACCGAACGTCCACTTTTAGATTAGATTTTACCAACGGATCGGTTTATCGTTACCCTCTGCACGTACACGCACGTTTCTCTGTTTTCGCATACGCGACCGCATCGGTACCACTTGATCGATTAGGTCGTTCCGCGATCTGAATCCTAACACCGCCAGGGATGCAGCGACGAGTGCGATCGATTGCGGTTTCCTTGTTTCCTCAAAATATAATTTCGAGTTTTATTTATAGTATTGTGTTTTTATTGTATTTTAATTAAATTTATTTTGTGAATATAACGCACTAGAAACAATTCTTTGAAACAAACTCTTTATAATTAAATACGCCGGCTTCTCTGTTTGTTTTCAATACATTGATCACCCAGAACGAAATCGTATTTGCGAAACGCGCGCGCGATGTGTTATCCCATCAAATGATGCGAACGATTAATTACCCTAGCAGTTAATTATCGTACAATACGACGAAGAACGAAATTCCCGGTTTTCGCGGTCGACGCAGTGACATTTTTGCGCGAGACATATCTCGGCTGGAAAATTAATTAACTGAAACCGGCGTTGCGTTTCAGTTACTAATCGTTTCGATAACTCGTTACGCTGCCTCGATGATCCTGACACATTATCGCGCGTTCGTCGACGCGTCACGTGTGGGATAATTGTAAATCAAACGCAGCGTCGCCTTTGCAGATGCTCTAACCCCAGCCACCGTGAACTGCAAATTGTGTCAATCATTCGCTAATTTCAACGCCGTTTAATTATATAAAAAAAAAAAAAAAGAATTGAAAGAATTAATTCTGTTTCGAATTTTCTGTGCTGTCAATTGTCACGAAATAAATTGGAATGTCAAACAATGTGTCTGTATCGTCAGTGAAATGTTTGGAGCAAGTCGAGCAAAATGTCCGAGTCCCAATGCAATTACGATTTTCATTTCAAATTATAAATACTCGAGAAGTTTTCGTTTAGTACGTGATGATATTTTCGGTAAAAAGATTGGAGTTATTTGAAGAGCCCGAAAAGTCCGTTTAATTCGAAACGAAATAAAATTAATCCGAGCATAGACGACGGATGAGAAATTAATTTCTTCATTCGCCGAAAACCAAGTTCCTCTTATACCACGTGTATCTCGAGATCGAAGGGAGGGATTTAATCCCAGGATGATCATTTTAGTTCTTCGTTACTCCTGAAACGAGGGTCTTGGGATTTTGCTTGATTCCCTCCGAAGTAATCAGAGAGTCTCTTTCTAAAAAAAAAAAAACACTATCACGTGAGTACGCTCACCAAGTCGTCTCTAGTAAGAGGTAAACCTGAGCATACTATAATTTAAATATTCAGTAATTCTTAAGAATTGTGAAACTCAAACTAAGAGTGTACCTACTTTGAACAATCGAAGTAAAAATTTGTACTTCTCGTTCAGAAACTGTTTACATCC